GGTGGGGTGGGGTGGCAGGGGAGGGCGAACCATGGAGCACGTCGGAGAGGAATCTGCTCTTGAGCAGCAGACGGCACAGCGGTCCCCAGCCTGGCTTCCCGCTCAGGTCTGCGCCCCGGGTGGGCAGTCCCCGGGCCGCTCTGGCTCCCTTGCAGCAGCGGAGCCTCCTGCCTGCGAAAACAGGCGGTGGAACGAGGGAGCTGGGCTGGGCCTTGTGGTGGTGCTGGAGGCTGCCCACTGAACTTTCTCTCTCTGCAGTTTTTGGAGCAGAAGTATGGCTATTTCCACTGTAAAGACTGCAAGACCAGATGGGAGAGTGCTTATGTGTGGTGCATTTCTGGAAGCAACAAGGTAGCTAACAAGTCATTTTTGGTTCCTGAGACTTCTAAGAATGGCACCTATTTAGGTACCTGTACTGAACACTCGAGGAAGTCTCTCTAGTAACCAAGGACTTGCTTTGTTCAGGTGTACTTCAAGCAGCTCTGTCGCAAATGCCAAAAGGGCTTCAATCCCTATCGAGTGGAAGCAATCCAGTGCCAGGTAAGTGACAGAGTTCTGTATCCTGGTAAGGCTGACAGAGTTTGTCATATACAGTTAATAGTTTACACTTGATGAATTAGATACTGACTTTATCTGGAAGAGAGCTTGCTTTCATCTAAGAACTAGAAAATGTTATTTGGGAAGGGTGTAATGGGATAGGACTCCCTCCTCCTGCAGATGGCTTACATGAACAACTTTCTATTGATACAGTCTTATGCCCAGCTACATGTAGGGTAGGGTTTTGTGCTTCTAGGTGAGAAGGCTCTTACAGCTTAACTCCACAGGGTTTTTACCGCAAGACCCCTTTTTAAGTGTTACCAGCCCAAATGTGTTGCTGTGATTAAGGGAAACTCAATGTAAGTCTAACATGAAGTGAGTGCCTTGGATCTACTACTAATAAAATGTCTTGTTTCTTAAGACCTGTTCAAAGACTCGTTGTTCCTGCCCTCAGAAGAAAAGACATATTGATCTCAAGAGACCTCATCGCCAAGAACTTTGTGGCCGCTGCAGAGGCAAGAGGCTGTCCTGTGATAACACCTACAGCTTTAAATACATTGTCTGATCTCTGTGCCCTCTCGTTTTGTGCTTTGCGCTTTTGTCAGTCTCTTGCAACGTTTTGACTTTAGGCTTTTGACCTGGCATTGGATAATGGATAAAGACTTTTGTATTATTTATAAATTGTATAACTCCATTGTAAATATGCTGTGAATAAAGTTCAATAAACGTTGGCACTGGTTTGTTACCCCTTAGTTTCATCTTGCTGGGATAAAAGAGGAAAGTGTATCTAGAAAGAAACAGAACCTATTTAATATCTGAAAGAAAAAAGGTTTTGTTTTTAGTCTGCCTTTAGGGAATGCTAAGATTAAAACTGAACTAGTGTGGAAGATTCAGATGTTCTGGAGCATGAAGTCTGGTATAAATGCATCTGCAAGTCTCTTCCCACTGCTGCTGTCAAATGTATAAAAAAAAAAAAATCGAAGCAATTTGATCATCAAAGACTACATGCCAGCAGACTGACTGTAAGACAGGAGGGAAAAGTGTAAGCTGCATGTGTTTTCCAAGTGAGGAGGGGAAAAGCCTTTTGAGCTGGGTGTCTGTGACAGTGCAACAAATTCTCTAGGCTTAATTGTGTTCCCAAAAGAGGTGGAACAAGTCCCTGTGCCTTGGATTTGACCACAGGCTTGTGCCTCAGAAGCTTTCTGGTCATGTAAGGTATCTCCAGGCTAGGTGGCTTAAGTGTTACTGAAGGGAGTGACTGACTGTGCTTTCATGGAGGCAAAAATGCAGTTGGGATTCCTCATTAACGTACTGGTGTTGTAGAAGCACGGGGGGGCATTACTGTGGTTCATGTTGTCTTAGAACTTCAGTGAGGCTTTGTTGGGAATATACTGATTTCTACTCTACCTGTGAAGTTTAGAAATTATGCTAAGAAATCTAGATGGTTATATCATGAGTTTTGTTGTAGCAGTGAAGAATCAAAAAATGCTTTAGGGTGGAAAGAACCTCTGGAGGTTTTCATACTCAGTAGAGGACAAATTGAATCAAGTTGCTCAAGATAGTGGTTAATGGACTGTACAGTAACAGGGGCCTGTATCTGTTCAGCATCTTTACCAGTGACCTGGAAGAGGTGATGGAGTGTACTTGTCGAGTTTGCAGGTGACACCAAACCAGAGGGACCAGCCAATGCAGCTGAGGGCAGTGCAGCCATTTGGAGAGATCTCGGCTAACTGAAGGGATGGGCCAACAGGAGCCTTGTGATATTCAGCAGGGACAAGAGGAAATTCCTACCCCTGGATGGGGAGAACAATTTGCCAACAAAGACAGGGGACTGGCTGGCTGAGGGGAAGCTCATGGGAAAGTGCTCTTGGGGTTTGGTTGGCAGTGAGCTGGGTGTGCAGCCAGCAAAGGGCAGCAACAACATCTTGGGCTGTATGAACAGAAGAGCCAGCACAGCTGGGAAAGCGATTGTCCCACTTTAGTCACCACTCACTAGACCACATCTAGATTACTGCATCCAGGTTTGGGCTCTCTATACAAGAAAGATCTTGATCAAACTGTAAGGAGTTCAGTGGAAGCCACCAAGCTGATCACAGGGATGGAGCACTTGCTCTGTGAGGAGACAAGTTCCTTCCTGTTGAAGGAAGTGGGCTTACTCAGTCTGCAGAAGCAAAGACTTGAGTGGGACCTCACAGTAGCCCGCCAGGTTATGGTTACTGAGGAAAGATGGAGCCAGGCCCTCCAATGTGGCCCATGGTAGGGGGATGAGAGACAACATGCATAAAACAAAACAAAACAAAACAACGTATGTTCAAACTGGAAAAAGGTAAAGCTTTTCCAGCATGTGAGCAGTCAAGTAGAATGGTTTGTCCAGGGAGGCTGTGCACTCTCCATCTTTCAATGTTTTCAAGACTCAACTGGGTAAAGGCCTGAATAACCTGATCTGATCTCATGAATGACTGCTTCAAAGTGGAGGTTGGGCTAGATGACCTCCTCGGGTCTCTTCCAACCTGAACTTTCCTGTGACTCTGTGATCTGGAAAATATCCATGATTTTGCCAAGTGATAGAGCAGATCTCAACTTTCACCAGCCACTAAAACTTTTGCAGACTACTCCAGTTCTGAATAGCTTTAAAAAGTGAAATACATAACTGAAATATGAAGACTTCTCTAACCATTGCGGATTCTGTTACCCAGAAAAATAGCTGTGTGATTTGCCTTGCATCTATTTTGTCCTGCTGCTACAACTGTGCTGCAGAGCTCTGTGGAGTGCAAAATCAGAAAACCCGTAAAAGAAGTCAATTCCACTCCGTTTATGCATCAATACAAGTCTTTTTCAAAATCCATGTAAAATTGTGCAAGCGTTTTGAATATGAAAAAGGGGTGAAGGGGAGAGGGCTTTACTGGATTCTCAGAGCTGAGGCTGATGTGCCAGGCTGGGCAGCTTTTTTCTTTTACCTTTAGCATGAGAAAAAATCCCACCGAAACCCAGCGCTGGAATGAATAGGGCCATTACTGATGTTTTTAACAGAAACAAACCTTCACCTCCATTTTGGATTTTTTTTTTCAATTATGAAACTGCTTTAGTCAACTTACTCTTCCTGGCTGAGTTATAACTACAGACTGACAAACCAATCTTTACATTTCTCACTGGGAACTTTCAGTGTGATCAATGGTTTCACCATAAATGATGAAAAGGTGTCTTGGGGGCTGCTGCTCATGGGTACCATCTGCAATGGTAGAGATTCAGACAAGAACACAATCTTCACAACAAGCACACACTCTATTGCGATTATATATGACTTTTATATTTTAGTTAAATGGATGTACTGATCCAAATATCAACCAAAGTTACTTCACAAAAACGGTAAGTGTATTTACAGAGTGAATAAGTTACATAGTTGTCAGAATAAAAGTGTCTCAGATGTGCAACAGATTTACATGCATACATTTAACACTGGACAGCAGTTAAATGTAAGAAAAAAACCATACAGGTATGACTTTTATATACATTACAAATAAAATAAGACATCTCTTTAAAGAAACTTAACATGAGAACTTGCATTTCACGTTAATATTTTTACTTTTTATACTCAAAATTTATATTAAATAAAAATATGCATGCATAACATTTCAAAAGATTTGACTCTGTGATGGGACTTTCTCCTACAAAATGGCAAGTTAAATTAGATCAACTATCCTTTAATAGTATAAATATATTCATAAAAGCAACCCTCTAGTAAAAAGCAGCCAAGGTCCTTTAAAAAAAAAAAAAAGAAAATCTACCAAGACCATTCATGATGCTTGGGGGCCTAAGAACAGACCTCTGCAATATGATCCAGTACCTTCAGAGACAGTAGCCTAGTAACATTAGGAAATGTACTTCATAGCAGCTTGTTGTTTTAAGATACAGTAATCATATTCAAATTACAGTGTACATTAAACTGTAGTCCATTTACAATTTGTTTCATATACACAGGCTCTCAGCTTTTGACCAACAAGTTTGCAAGATTCTGTGGCCAGCTTCATTCCGCCCATCTTTCACTCAACCAAATAAGAGAAAAAAGGAAAAAATGTACAAGTTTGGTTTTTTTTTAACAAAAAATATTATTTTGTGAAGGAAACATTGCACTTTTGCCAACCTAAAATTAATTTGCTATAAAGGAAGTATCGTTCAGTGTAGTAGACTTTGGTATGCAATGGAAGTCACTTCTTCAGTAGTGAGTTGCAGTTGCTCAGTGAAATGCTAACTGATTTTTGTGCAACAGAGAACAAAGGATGTTGTCCCAGATGCTCTATGCTACCTTTGTCCTTACAGTATTGCTACACATTTGAAGTTCAGCCCATATCTTTTTAGAAGAAATCCTAAATGTAACGAGAGGGAGTACAGTTTGACCAAACCTTTGTAAGGCTGAGAAGACATTGAGCCACCTCACTCCAACAGGGCAGCACCCCCAGCTTGAAAGAGGACACAGGAGTCCTGTCAGAGACTTGTGCCGGAAATGCTGGAGTCTGGAAGAAAAGTATTGATGACCCGGTAACTCTGAGCCCTGCGAATCATGTCGCGGATCTCGATATTCAGTTCCATTAATTTGGTACAGATTTCAGTCAGGCTCTGGTTGGAGCCCACCAGTGCATAGGTGCCCGTCTGACCCAAGGTTTGGTGCCGGAAGTAAATGTTCAGTAGTGTCTGGACTTCATCGTCAGAGCTACTTCCAAAGATATCATTGGGCCACAAAATCCTGCAATCAAACAGGAAAAGAATGTCCGTATCATTATGGGTTTATTAGCAGCGACGGAAGCGAGGTGACAGAGATCTCTAAAGGAGAACTGACTTGCACCCTCTTTCAAGCCAAAAGCAACTCACTCTTTTATGCTACTCATTTGTTACTCAGACTCTGGTATCAGGCACTGAGATCACATAAAAGTGCAATTCCTATTATTAAAAAAAAAAAAAAAGCTTATGAAAACTCATTCAAAGAAGTGAAAGTGAAACTGGGCTGAATGTTAGCTGATGCCAGTGACATACACCTTTAAGGAATTAGCTCTACAAAAAGATTCTTAAGAGCCTCAAGAGCCTCATAGAAGTACTTTCGATCTACGCAATGTAATTAAACATCTTAATTATTGCAAGCATACATCTTTGTATTACTGATTTGATATCATTACTTGTGGCACATCCCTGCAAAAGTTACTAATATCAATGTCCCCGTGTACCTTGTTGAAACATATTAAATTAATGTGCTGACTCAGCACATTACATTGAGTATAAAGTTAGAAAGATAATAAATGCATACTTTTCCAATAACATGAAAGTCTGCTATGAGCCATGGAGCAAAACTTGCCTGCATTCTCTTATTTGTTGGACAGCTTTAACAAGTTCATTGTTTTTCAAACACTCCAGCATGGACTGAATAGCTGCTTCCGTGGAATTGAACGTGGGCTCAGATTCCGTTGTCAGAGGCTCAGCTGCGATTGCAGCAGTAGCATCCTTAAGATTTTTCTTCAGCTCACTCAGTTCTCTTGACATATTTAACAGCTGTTCCAAGGAGAGAGATGAGAGATGGGTATTTTCATTCTCCATAGGCACCAAAGGGAGTAGGTATTTCAAGACTGTCCTTATAATACATTGGATGTACACATTATGGAAAAGACCCCATTTTAACCCAAGAACATTTCTTGATCTCTGTGCTCTGTACAATATAGGGGAAACACAAACTACAGATTTTTAAGCTTTGTGCTTCCTTTAACCCTATGCTGTATTGTTGGCTTGCTAAAATGCAAGAGCATATCTAAGCAATCTTTTATTTTTCACCCCTGCTACTTTTTTCATATCATATCAGGGGAAAAGTTTAAGAAAACAGATACTTGTCCCAGCAATGATGTTGTTATTTATTTACAAAACACATGCAGGATCTGATATGATTAACAGATGGAAAGGAATTGTATATCCCTTTGTCAGGCTGAAAAGTTAATATGGTACACGACTCATAAATAATTCAGCAGTGAACAGTTAATTTGCAAAGATCTACCTTTTCATGCTCATGCATGCTAAAAATAACCACTGTCACATGAAGTAACAATGGAACTTCCCTTAAATAACAGCTTATGGCTCCAGCGAAATATGCAAATTTCATGGTCAAACAGCTATTCGTCATATTATTGGCCCCCAGTTTATAGGCTGCATTATTTATAGCAATCTAACAAAATCATAACCATGAAATACAGTTACAGAAATCAATTATCTTACAAGGAACACAAAATATTTCTAAAATTTAGACTACTCTAAGACTAGATGCCTACTGTCTTTGTCTTTTCTTATAAGCGAACAGCCCAATCACATTACCAGTCAGCCTTCAGAACAGTTCCTTAAGATACAGTAAGTACTGAAACTCATTGTACTACTACAGCACATCTAATTAAAAAAAAACATTTCCCTTTATAGAGAATCTTGAAACTACTAGAATCTGTCATAAAATAGATTTTATAGCTTCAAATTTTGCTTTACAGCTACAAGCAAAGTACAGTAACTTCTTCTCCTTAAAAGTTTAAAATACATACACCTGCCCAGGTGAGAAATATACATGGAATGGCAAGTTAAACCTTTCCTTAAATGATGATCATTCAACTTACAGTGATCACCTCAAAGATATTACATATTTTATGCAATTGCTGAAAATAAACTTAACTAACAGTATTGTTCTTGTGAAGTGTTTTTTAAAATAAGACACATAGATTCATTTAAAACCAAAAGGCCAAAATTGGGGTCAAAAGTGATAGTGTGCTGTGTCAAAAATATTTAAAGAAGAAAGCTTGTAAAGATCACAGAATAAAAAAGACTTATGACATTAAGGTATTTAGTTAATTATATTTTAAAAATAGATTCAATACTCTTTGAAAATGCTCAACTGGTTTCAATTTGTTTATCCAGAGAACAAGATCAGGCAATACACTTGCAGTCAAAATACAAAGTAGTTCTACACAGCACACCTTTGCTTGCTGAGGTGTGAGAGGATGCAGAACCATTTAATAGCTGTTTGTCAAAAACTGCTACTGACATTTCTAGTATAATGCACATGCAATGGAGCCAGTTTATATTGTGGGAAATTACAGTACATTATTCCAGCAAAAACCTTAATTTTGCATCCATATTAAGATTAATTTACAAAATTATTCCCTAAAAATTAAGGCCTCAATTAAAATAAAAATAAATCACTTGCAGATGTTCGCACAGTATGAGCCCTCCCTACATGTGAAGTGTGTGACTGAAATTAAGATTTCATATATCATTCTAGTTTGTTACTTCTGACTGAAATGACTTTTGAAGACTGAATATATAAAAGATCCCGATCTCAGAAAGTACAGTCCATTACAAAAAATACAGCATCTTGACTATATTTTAATGCAAATGCTGGTGTATTGAAGGGTTTTGTCTGCAGACTTACATTCAGGGTGAAACAGTGTGAGTCCATAGAAAGACAACTAGGAACATGAAAGTAAAGTGGTATTTTCAGTGTAAGACTTTGTAGTTTGTTACATACCTCTGGCATGGAACTGACTTCGTGCACTTGGCCGATAAGTTTACAGTAGGACTGAAAAAGCAACAGCAGCTGGAAGTGCAGTTTATATAATCTCTGACACAGTTCCAATTGCTAAGGAAAGATTTGTAGGAGAAGAAATAATTAATAAAGAACAGTGAGTTGGGATAATTTGCAATAACTAATAAAACAAATTGAGATTGTTCAGTTCTCAAAAAAAATTATTTTACTGTAGTACGATCATATACTATTTCAGAAAACAAGTAACATTCTGCTGCAGGTAAGTCATATACGACATTGAAAATCAAAATTATGATGGCTAGCTCTCATGTAGCACACGTCAGCATCAATCTCAAAGCAGTTTATAGGTTAGCTTCACTGTCTCCAGTTTGCAGCTGGAAAGCAGAGGCAGAATATGGGGGAAATGACTTTGCTGAATAGAACATAAAACTCTTTAAAACTTCAGAAATGGTCAAAGACCTTTTCTGAGAGGATGGAAATCCAAGAGAGTAGCAATGAAGTAGTTGTCCGAGAGGGTCAAAACTCCTGACTGCTTCTCTGAGGGGAGAGCAAGAGAGGCAATAAATCCAGCCAGGAGCGGGAGGGAGGACTTAAACCTCTGCAACCTAAATTTCAGCTCATGGATTTTCCACCATCTTAAAGAAACCATGCAACAGATGGATGGACTTTAACATGTAAGCGGACATCTGGCTTCTACAATTTATTCTCCCATATTCTTCTATGAATATTAACTTGTTTCTTCCAGAGTAATGTGCAGCACCACACAAATGGTGTCAGACACATCGAAGTAACATGCAATGGGCATGTCTGCCAGAGGATTCAAGTTAATATGCTTATGGTCCTGGTATCCATGTCTCTGTTGGGAGGGAGAATCTCATAGTTCCACAGCTGTACCATGGTGGGGAAGGGAGGAGTATTTCATCTTTTTTCAATTACTGAAGAAGTGAAATTTCTTCAAGTACAAGTCAGGAGGCCTCCTGACCCTTTGTCAGGAAAGCATGACAGACTTCAAACCATACTTGATTTGTTTTCTTTTACAGACACAGTGACCAAGGGTGGGCTCAGCAATCCTTCCATTTACTTGGAGGAACTAGACCAGAGTTTCATGCCAAACATGGCAGAAAAAAAGAAGCAGCTATTAATGTCTTTGCTTCCTTAAAGCACTTCACACATGCGTAGCTACCAGCATGTACTTCAGCTATTTGCTGAACTGTGGTCTGTGAAAATGCCAGCAGAAATACTAATAAAAAGTACTTTAAAACATTCTAAACGTTAATTTGACTGAAGTGTTTATTTACACATGGTTCAATATTTAAGTGCCAGGGTTTTTATTAACAAGCCAAAATTAGAACCATAGCCTTAGCGTTCCAGTTCCCAAAATTTCTGTACCAGCCAGACAAGGCTGAGGGGCTGAGGTCAAAAGAGAGGTTCTTTGGCAAATTTCAGCTTTGTTTGTCAGGGAGTGGTGGACACCAACTACGCATCTATTAAGAGTCAGCCAAGGGTGCTTCCAAAACCAGGTAGAGCTTGTCTCCTTCTGAAGGAGGTTTATGGAGGAGAGTTGGAGCAGGAGGAGAGCACCAAGCCA